CATCAGGTCGTCCAACTGGTTATGGCTGGTTGCCAGGGGAACAACAGTTGGTTCAGTAAAGGTTGTTTCGATAGGGAGAGGAAAGGGGATGCTCATGGCCGGAAGGTTTACGGGCGCCACTGCTTGTGGCACATTCAAGCCGGGGATCCCATCCACCCAAAGGGGGATGGTGAACTGTCCGACGCACACCACGGGGACTTGAAGTTGTTCCCCGGTGGTGTTTGTCTCCGTGCCACGTCCGGCGTTGCTGGAAGAAGCCATGAGTGTTAGGGTTTTTGGAGAAAAGAGGTTATGAGAGTTTAGAGGGAGGCTTTTAGAAGCGAGTTCCCACAGACGACGCCAATTGATGATGCGCAATCCGGCTGGTCCTAGCTGTCAACGACCTTGCTTCTGAACGGAGCTACAGGGAGCCTGAAACAGAGAAGATGAGGAGGCTCCGGGGGAACCCGATATGAATGCTCTGAAGCTCAAGTTAGAATTCTTTCAAAGGCAAGATAAAACTAGATGGTGCAAAGTTCACATACCTTGTTCTTGGGGGGTAGGGAGCCTTTTATAACCACCTCGTGCACTCACTCCTTATCTTCTGTCAGGTCGGGTATGATTACCTCTGGGCTCCTGCCAGTTCGGGTGTCATCCCCTCTACTGGATAGAACCACCACTGCTCCCTTTGTCGGAGCCGTCTCTGCGACTAGCGATGACGGTGGCAGGTGGCCGTTGAAGTGTGGCTGTCAAGCGTCAGATCCCAAGTCAGTCAGGTGCGCTGCCCTTGGATACGGACCTCCTCGGTGTCAGGTATGGTACGTTTGTTCAGTTCGGCATCCCGGAGGCAAAGTGTTGGAGTGGTGAGCGAGGTGAAGTCTTGAGTTCGGATAGAAGAGTGTCCTGAACTTCCATGAGGCGGGCCAGTTCGGGTCATTGCCTTGTGTGGCTCGGGGCATAAGGGAGAGTTCGGGCTCCTCGTAGGGAGTTCGGGCTCCTAGTAGGGAGTTTGGGCTCCTCGTAGGGAGTTTGGTCTCCTTATAGGGAGTTCGGACTGTTGGTTTCCTCCCTTTGGTGCTCGCGCCCTGGGCGTGCTGTTGTGTCGAGCTGTTTGCCTTTGCCAAGTGTTGAGTGATTACGAGGTCGGGCCAAATCTTCTTTCATCAGCTTCCTTTCGTGTCCTAAATTGAAATATAAGAATAATGAGTCCATTTTGGCACTAAATAAGTATAAAAGACTACATATTAAGGGATAAAAATGTTAGACAGTGTATGCCCTTAGCTCCAATCAGAATGATGTACATTATGACATTTATTGTAAATGAATAAAGTACATATTTGATTCATGTTATTATGGTGTGTTTCTGTGTAATGCCCTTAAAACTGGACACATATGAGACTCGTATTAGTTTAGAATCTTCACAGCCATTGGATAGATCTAGGGAGATTTATCCTGCCAAGGCTGACACTGATGTGCCGCCAAGTTGGTTGGGGTGGCTTGTCTTAGCTGCCAGGGTGAGACTTGAGGTACATGCAGTGTGGGTTATTTTGAAACCCTGAACCGGATCAGGATTCCAGTATTGCCCTGGACTTTGGAGATAGATGGGCAAAACTGGAATGTTACACCTGACCCCTAGACTCGATTATGATACTGCACTAGGTG